GTGGCCTTCAGCTAGATGAGTCCACTAAAACATATGGTCAGCATCCAATGTCGAAAACTTACAGAGCTATTTATTTTAGGGATTTATTTACCGCTACAGTTGGATATACATCCAGATCTTGATGTTTTTGAGGATTATTTTGAAAGGTTTGAAATCTCGGCTACGACCAAGGAAAATGATGAGGATGTTAATATGGTAGCACATTTTCTCACATTCATCGGAAAAGAAGCATAATTGATTAAAAACTCAACCTTTATCGGGGAAGCCTATTTCGCTTCCTTATACAGCTCTCACGGATCTATTGCTGGACTATGTTAAGTAGACAAATTTCGACTGCGGTACAGGGCGATTTCGTAAAATGATTCACAAGGATATAAAGAATTCCACTACATTACGTCACCCAGGCCCAGTGCATACTCAAGGTTTTGCAGATAATTCATTGTGGAGTTGCGATGCATTTCACGAAGATGGGCGTAGGTTTAGTCGATGCTTGTTCTGTGGCAGGTTCCACTCTTTTAATTCATGTAAATTTCGTAATCCTGAGTGCTTTAAATATTGTGATATTGGACATATTCAGTCAGTTTGTAATACTACTGTTCATCTTACTGCGATGAACATTAAGTCTTGTCCAGTGTTCCTAATGATCATTTATCCTTATCAGCGATTTCAAAAGACAGTGTAGAGTCATATAGCAGCTCAGAGTTAAATGAAACTCAGAATCTTTGCGAGACAACAGTGTCTAATCAATCAACTTATCAGATTTCTAATGTTATTGTACCAGATATAGTTTTTCCTAATAATTCACTTACTACTGACAAAATTCCTTGAAAATCTGAGGAAAATATGTTAAATGAACCTATTCATGATCGAAAACCTGATGCAGTCTTGATAGATGCCGATTTTTCTAATGATACTTTACTCTGCAATGACATTCTTAATAAATTTGAGGAAACTATTTCAGAAGAGTCAAGGCTTGATATCATACCAAGTATAATTTCTCCTCATAATGCATTTGTTTCTTGTGGTAAACTTGTTCAATGCGAAGCACTAGTACTAAATGACCTCGATTTTGATTACAATTCGGATGATTTCATATCACCTGCTGTTCATCCATATCAGAAATCCATTTTCATTGTATACTCTAATCAATGTGAGAATTATGTTTTAAATGAAGCCACATTATTCATAACTTGGGGATATAAAGATTCAACATTCTTTCGTGGTGGGGGATAGTGTTGAGAAATCTATGGTTCGGATTCTAGATATTAATGATTTCATTACAAAATCGACATGCTGATTGTATACAATCCTAGGAAGCAGGTGATTCTGTTCCGATTTCCGTTGTTAATTCTAATACTAATGAGCACGTTCTAGATAATACCGAGTTTTTATCCAATACACTATCGGACAAACACAGTATGAACTTAAGAAGATGTGCAATCGATTACAGACACTTAGACTCTAATTTAAGCTATGGCGGATGAGGTGTTTGAATGAATTAATGGTTCCTTTGTAATTGTTGAATGCTTGATTTCGAATTCCAAATACAGTACATTCGTTCGTGCTTATCTTGTACTTCTTGATCCGATTACGTTATTTCTGGGATTCTTAGTTCATACTATAATTCAAATACTTCTAATCATCATATAATCACATCTCTCAGTCATCGTTCACATATGTTCGACCTTGTCAGCTATCCGCTTATAACATTGATTGTTTATTTCTGAGCGTATGTGCCTAACACTTGCCCTCGTCATCACATCTTTAGCTTATATTTTTCTATTTGATTAGAAATATTGATTAATGATAGTGAGTCGGGACGTTTGACTTATTTGATCAGCCTTTTTTGACTATCTGCACTAACGTTTCCGAAGCCCTTCCTGACGTATTCAGTTCAAGTAATAACATACGGAGCCAAAGTTTCATATTGCATTACACATTCGTAACTATTCTTTATGGAATCAGATCGCTAGGGCAAAAGATCCTGCCAAACGCCAGCCTGTAGGACATCTTCGCTTTATCACCCAGTTTTCCAAATTGTAACCAACCTTATCGGCTGGTCAACATAATCGCATGTACCCACTAAGTAAATATGCTTGCCAAAAGAACCTTTGACCAGTTTCTCGTAGTTATTAGTAGGCATTACACTTGACTTATCCACTGTATATTGTAGTGTCTGGTGACGATCAGGTAGGGGATTTAGTATTACCCTTCAGGATCACTTTACAAACTCGATCAGTTTTAGTGAGTTGCCAAGTACATGGTGATGAAAACTTCCCATCCCCATAATCAACCGATCGTACTCGTGCATTGCACTTAGAACAGTCATCCACGGCTCACCAAACTATTAGTAGGTAGCGCACAGTTCACCAACCAGTTTCTGTGTGCTAAATTGTCTAAAAATTTTAAATTGCCTAAATACCTGAAACCTATAATAAAGGCAACTAAAATATGTAGGATTGGCGGACGATATAATAATGTCAACAGCGAAAACTGAAAGTTACATCAGTAGTCTAAGAAAAAGAATGTAAGGTCTGTATGTGGACACAGTTCCTTATCTATGAAATGAAAAAAATGACCTATGAGTATAATTTTCATAAATCCAACTGAGGTAAAGGGAGTACAATACGTCATTGTTAAGTTTGTCTTATATTGTCCCTACTCGTCCCCTTTCTACTCTTTCGTATATTGTCTTATACTACTTATTTACATTCAGTAAGCAGTTGTATTCCCAACAATTTTCACATCTATATTGTAACGCAAGTTGTACTGTAATATTCTGAAATGTTCACATATACTTATAACGTTTATTGTACTTATCATTGTATTTATCATTATAATTACTGTATCTTAATCGCTGTAGCCGTTATCCACAGTTTTGTGCATTTTTTTCAAACGCAACAGTTTCCATATTGTTTTGCTCTTGGTTCGAGTTTCGTTTGCTCATAAAATGTTATCAAATTTAGACAGCTATCGGCTGTCTTTGTACTATCGTATGTTATAATTATTCTTTGTTACTCTTACAGGAAGCCTTTTTTATTTTCATTCTTGAAGGACGCGTTTAAACGCCTAGACACCTCACAAGTTGAGGTTTGTAACTAAATTTTGTGTATTATTTAACAAAGAACTGCCTATTGTAGACAAATTGTTGTTTTGGAAACTTCGGTTTTGCACGTATCTCAAGCGGGTGACTTGGACGCTTCGATAGACTTAACAGTCATATCTGTGAACTTAAATGATTCTACGGAGAATTTCACGTGACAATACATTAAAATACTTAACTAAACTTGCGCTGGTAATTATGGACAGTCTTATGAAAGTACTGTTGTGAGTGAGTGATTTTGCACATACATATCAGTACCACCTTGATACATTTCTTCTGAATACTACTTTAGTCAAACGAAATTCAAAAGACCTCAAATTAGCAAGTTAAATGAATATATATATATATATATATATATATATATATATCAAAAAGAATCTTTGTTCATCAACATCGAATACACATAACAGAAAGTTTACATCAAATCATTCTTACTATAAGTAGGAACAACGTGCATCCTGAAAATAAAAAGTTTTAAAAAAGCAGGTATAAATGACGAAATTCTGATAGGTTTCTAACTAAGCATTCTGTAATACAGTCAACTGGTATATTTTAATTAACCATCAAACAGTGTTTTTTCAATTCGAGTTAATAGCAAATCCACAGTAACCGCATATTTTACAACCAGTTATCTGTGCACAAATTTCTGTGACCCAAATGTGTTACACTCCAGAACAAAATAGCATTCTTTCCGAGAAACCAGTATTTATTTTCTACTGTTTTCGTGATGCATTTATTTTAATGCCCCGCCGAATTATATTGTCTTTCTTTATGAGTAAATAGAGGAACAACATCCCATAGGGATAATAAAACTGACTAGTCCTAGTACACAAATTATTATAATTAGACCCGATTTTCGAAATAATACATTATTAAATTAGGGTCAAGAGATCTTATGTGAAGAATTCTTGTACAGCTTTTACACTTTATTCACACATAGATGGAGTCATACTCCGGTAACTATGGCACAAACTAAACAGATTATAAGTGACTCGTAGGTCGGGGACTCGGAAATCCGAAATACAACACACATTTAGGAGCAATGGACTCACCCTATACTTGCATTTTCAGCTGGTTTCAACAACGAAATAGAAAGCATATTTATCATACTGTCGCCGCGAACAATCGACATGTGAATACAGCTCTAAATAATATTACCAAATCCAATGAAATAAATAAGAACGAAGTATAGAGATAAAAAAATACATGTAGATTGTTAATCAGATGAAATCGTGATTCCTAATTCAAAAATAACTTAATTATGAGACTTATTGTCATATTAAAGATTAGAAGACAATCACTTCATCCGAAATTTTTTTGTAATATCTCACAATAAGATATAAGATATCACAAAAATATGACGTGGAATGTTCAGACAGTGTAGAAGACCATGAGAACTAGTCAAATAGTTACAGAAATGAGGAGATAAACCTTGACAGTCCTCGGAAATAGTGAAACCCATTGGATCTAAGATGGAACGAAAAGATTAAATTCGGGAGAGATGCTGCTGTACTCTGGTCACCAAGAAAAAAATGCCACACATACACAGACAGTTGTTTTGATGCTGTCCAAAGAAGCACGTAAAACACCTATAGGATGGGAATCTCATGGATCCACAATCATCAAAGGATCCTTCAAAACAAAGAAGGAATGGATCACATTGAATGTTATCCAGTGCTATGCACCCACCAATGATAGCAACAGAAACGATGAGGATCAATTTTATTAGGGTACTGAGTCGATCATAAGAGAAGTGTTATATTCCGACGACAATAATGGATGGCAGCCGTCGGAATTTTATTTATGGACTGATGCTATATTCTTATTGTATAATTAGTGAGTAGCTACATTAGGTATATTCGTATTCTCCATATTATTAGCTCTATTTTGACTTATGTACTATTAATACGATATACTGTTCTCAAGTTCTGTCCAGTTTATTAATTACCGTCTCCCATAACCACAGCCACTTTTTGGCTTGATCATGTATAAATGTCATTTACTATTTTATCATGTGATGTGGTCTGTTTTGCTTATATATAAGCCAGGTATGTTTGAAATAAATGATTCGCATAGTGGAAGCTGGTATTGTTCTTCTGGACTCATCTGGCAGGGCTATTAGGAAAAAGGACGTTAGGTTGCTCATACCGGTCGATACATTATCGGTTTGGCACAGCGTTAAGATTGTATAAGTCGTATTCCGATTGGCTTACGGACACAGCAAGAGGTGCACAGGAAATAATTTGACCACTCTAATGTGAGAACTAAACGCCAACGTTGAAATGGGCAACACCGGATATGAAGATGTCATGAGAAGACATAGACTGGGAGAAAGGAACAAGAGTAGTGACAGATTTGAAAATTTACGTGCACTCAACAAAATGGCTATACATGTTACTATATTCCCACACAAACCCATAAACAAAGCTTCATAAGTCTCACCGAATCACATCACAACACATCGAGCACCAACCCAATAACCCTTGATGGAGAACATCTGGAAACTTTCATGTACCTGGTTAGCAACATTGATAAACTAGAATGATCTGATGCAGAGAAAATAAAGGACAGCATTATTATAAATGAAGAAATTATGGAGTTCAAAACAACTTTCAGCTAACACCTAAGTCAGAAACTTCAATACGAAAATCAAGACAGTTATATAGTATGGAGCTGAAACTGGAGAACTACCATAACCATCATTAAAAA